GACTTTCTGGAGAGAGTAAAGACAAGAAGCGTATCACGCGGAGAGACGAGTGAGCGACCTGAGGAGAATGAGACAAAGGAGGACAAAGTGACGCAGGGGAATAGCGACAGGATATGAGCGGGACAGCAGTTCACACGACGGATCGGTACTCATTGCATGTGGTAGGGAGATTAGACGGACCATTGGTGTTAGTGATCATAGAGCTCCAACTCCATAGTAGACTATGCATAGTTGAGGAGGCGGAGTGTGTTCGATGTGCCCTGCGTGAGGCTAGGGGGACAGGACTTTGGATCGGATTAGAAGGAGGACGGAGGATAAAATACGTGCTCTGAGTGACACCCTTTGAAGGACAGTCGCGGATAAGGGCATGGTATGAGACGACCAGAGAGGCTGAGAGGTTGAAGATAAGCGAGGCCAGGAAAGCTGGGGAGTTAGGGAGAGTTGTAACAGACGGAGCCATACTCAGGGTGTTAGCCGCTCACAATAGGTACTGGAAGGAGACGATAAAGACTTTAGAAACCATAGAGGATGATGGAGATGAGGAGGATTTTGAGACGTTCGATGACATATTGGAGCAGTCGGCGATGAGGTTACAAGTGATTATAGCACTAACTTACCTCGGCTGCTAGAGGAGAGCGTGAGATCTGCGACCGGTACGGACTACCGGAAGAGGTAGATGAGGAAGTCTAGAGCTAAGATTGGAGGTAGACGTAGGTCGTGACAAAGAAAGACGTAGGTAGTGGTAAAGAAAGAGGTCTGGGCTGCCGTGACTATCATTGGTCCGGGCTGCGTCGGCTGTCATAGGGTCAGGACCGAGGCACTTGACTAGGGTATCTGACTGCGTCGATCTGAAGGGCCCGATGGAACCCGACACGATGGGGCCACAACCGATCAGGGGCGAAGTAGGAGAAGAGTACAGGACATCGCCCGATCGAGCCCTGAGAGATCTCAAGAACCGAATTAGGCGTGAAGCGCCGCTGAGATGGGCCGACCAAACCAATGACGAAGGGCCCGCCGAAAGGGGCGAACCGGCAGTGACAGAGCCGCGGGGAGCTCTGAAGACAGGCATCTCGATCGAACGACGGGAAGTGACGAGGAGACGCTCTCCCGAGTACGAGCGAAGAGACACCACAGCGGACAGGCACGGAGACGACTGGAGAGAGAGTTTGAGGGATACCTATTGGAGGGACAGAGATAGAGACAGGGCGCCGCCCAGGCGAGTCTTCGACCCTCAGACAGGGGAGTC